GGAAATGTACGTTGTACAAGGGAAGCGTGTATCTGTTCAATTGGAACAATGTTTGAGAACAAATCTAATTAATTTCAAAAATATTATCGCAAGTTGATTACCAAACACAGAACACGCGAATGTTTGACACTTTATTAGAAAAAAACCTTCAATGTTCGAAATTTTGGCATTTGGACAACATTTTTTCCCTATTAGCACGGCGGTGTGGGCATCGATGATTTTTCTTTTATTCGGGTAACAAATATTTTTTGAACACTATTTCAGATGCTTGAAATTTTTTTTATGTATATATTATTACTTATCGATCGATGGTGAACATAAAGCCCTTAGATTAGATCCATGACGTTTGTTTCAAATGACACAAGAGATTTTGCTCGTCCAAAGTGTTTAGCGAGTTATTTCGAACGCAACGATTTTATGATACTTCAGTTAAGTATTGACAAGTTAAAGCTGTAATAGATTAACAATCGTATAACTGGGTATACACGACACGGGTCACCCTAGCACACTGCAGCACGCCCTCAGCTCAAACATGGTACGCAAACGGTTTTGTAAAAAATAATTATTGTATTTACAATATACCTAATAACACATATTTATAGTTAAATAGCCATGTTTATTCACACAATGTCGGCTCGTGGCCCTGTTATCAGAAGATATTAGTCATTAATAAACTAGTAGACTAGTTGAAATAGTCATTATTGCATAAACATTAGATTAAATATTAGTTGATCAATAGTTAAAATGGCCGCAAATAATTGTGATTTAAATCGGCAAAATGCATTGCTACATTTAATTGAGAAAAATTAAAGAAACAGTGTTTTTTAAACATATTTCAAAATACCCACTGTTTGACAAGAACATATAACGTACAGGTAGGTGTCGAGTAAAATATTTGTTCTATATAGCGCTTACTTGGTTTTCGATTTGGAATTTGTTTCGTTTCTGAAAAAATATAATGAGTTTTAATTTTCTTCATCTGATTCTGAAAGTTAATAAATAAAACACATTGAGCTGTGTCTTGAAAAAATGTAATTAACAATACGCTAATCTGATAGATAGATATTGTAAATTAAAACAACACGTCTATATGACTGATAACAGGCTAATAGTTAGATAACACTGGCATTTATTGCCTATGACAAGAGGCTACAAAATTCTGAAGCTCACGATAGTCTCTGTAAGTCTTTCAACTGGAAAAGTAAATTTAATATGTCATTGCAATGTGTGGATAAAATTATGCAACAATGTTCCTATTGTCAACTAAAAAAAGTTTATCCCAGTTTAATCATAGTCATTTAATTAATTTGTTTTTCGAGAACTTGTGTCAAAACTTTGACGTGTAACCTCATTTGAGTTGTTACACCCCTGTTATATAACATAGGCGTTGAATATATATATATATATATATATATAACTCTATTACGGTAGTTAAATGGACCTGCCATAATTGCAGTACTTAAGCGGACGTCGTTTCTGTGTCCGTATCATTGTTTTTAAATACGTACTTGGAGAGCGCGAGAGCCGTTGACAACTACGGAGAAAAAGAGTCAACACAATCCTCTCGATAACAGATATAAAATTTTTGTCCGCTTAATTCGTCCACTTAATTCAGACCGCCAAATGTTTTAGCCTATTTCGGCACTAAGCCGGACCTCTCATATATGTCGCCCTGGATGTCTACATAAATGATGCTGCTTTTATTTTATTACGCATTTTAAAGCGTATGACCTCGCTTTAATTTCCGATGGATTCGAACCAATTTAGCATTATTTATCACAAGAAATAGCATTTTTTTTCAATGTTCAGTATTTTGTGCAAGGGAGATGCACTGTGTTTGGTTGTAGGAAATAATCTTCCATGTCAAAAAATACTCAAAATGCAACGTGAAGGTAGACAAATCGAAACAAATTGATTCAAACGTAATATATATTTGAAACTGAGAAAATACACAGAGCATATCACAAATGTTCGCCTATTCCAACCCTATGGTGTAACATATAGATTGAACAGATGCTATGTTGTGAGTGTCAAGATATCAATACCAAGTCAAAATTATTGCATTCAAATATATTGATAAACTTTGCGCAAAATATATCTCAAAAATCCGCATATCTATATGGCTAGTTATTAAGCGTGACATATAATTGAAAAACAAATTTTGAAATGCCATACATATTGAGAAACAATACACAAAATATATTTCAAATGTATCACCAATTTGATTGCTAAAGTGTGAAATATTATTTTAAAAAGGAAGTGTGGTATATAATAGTAAAATAAAAAATGAAAGTGCTAATATTATTGAGAAACAATAAAAAAAATTATATATACGCAGAAGGAAACCGCAGAATGAAATTCATGTCATTAATGAAGACAAAAATCACACAAATTCGATTTCAAATGTTCATCCTATTCGGTCACTCAAATGTGGCACGTAATTGAAAAATGAACACCAGCCTATTGAGAAACATTACACAAAATATATCTCAAATGTCCACTTATCCGGCATTTAAGTGTGGCATACAACAATTAAAATAAAAATTCTGAAATCATATTGAGAAATATTACACAAAGTATATCTCAAATGTCCACCTATCCGGCCACACTCTGAAATCATATTGAGAAATATTACACAAAGTATATCTTCAAATGTCCACCGTATCCGGCCACCTAAGTGTGGCATACAAGAATTAAAATGAAAATTTTGAAATCCTATCGAGAAATATCACACAAAGTATATCTCAAATGTCCACCTATCCGGCCACCTAGGTGTGGCATAAAGCATTAAAATGAAAATTCTGAAATCATATTGAGAAACATTACACAAAGTTAATATCTCAAATGTTCCACCTATCCGCCACCTAAGTGTGCATAAAGCATTAAAATGAAAATTCTGAAATCATATTGAGAAATATTACACAAAATATATTTCAAATGTCCACCTATCCGGCCACCTAAATGTGCATACAAGAATTAAAATGAAAATTTTGAAATCATATTGAGAAATATCACACAAAGTATATCTCAAATGTCCACGCTATCCGGCCACCTAAGTGGTGGCATAAAGCATTAAAATGAAAACTCTGAAATCATATTGAGAAATATTACACAAAGTATATCTCAAATGTCCACCTATCCGGCCACCTAAGTGGCATAAGCATTAAAATGAAAACTTCTGAAAATCATATTGGAGAAATATTACACAAAGTATATCTTAAATGTCCACCTATCGGCCACCTAAGTGTGGCATAAAGCATTAAAATGAAAATTCTGAAATCATATTGAGAAATATTACACAAATATATTTTGAATGTCCACCTATCCGGCCACCTAAGTGTGCATACAAGAATTGAAATGAAAATTTCTGAATCATATTGAGAAATATCACAAACTTTATCTCAAATGTCCACCTATCCGGCCACCTAAGTGTGGCATAAAAGATAAAATGAAAATTCTGGAATCATATTGAGAAACATACACGAAGTATATCTCAAATGTCCACCTATCGGCCACCTAAGTGGGCATAAAACATTAAAATGAAAATTCTGGAATCATATGAGAACATTACACAAAGTATATCTCAAATGTCCACCTATCCGGCCACCTAAGTGTGGCATAAAACATAAAATGAAAATTCTGGAAATCATATTGAGAAACATTATGCAAAGTATAATCTCAAATGTCCACCTATCCGGCCACCTAAGTGTGGCATACAAGAATTAAATGAAAATTCGTAAATCGTATGAGAAACATTACACAAAGTATATCTCAAATTTCCACCTATCCGGCCACCTAAGTGTGGCATACAAGAATTGAAATGAAAATTCTGAAATCATATTGAGAAACATTACACAAAGTATATCTCAAATGTCCACCTATCCGGCCACCTAAGTGTGGCATAAAACAATTCACAATGAAAATTCTGAAATCATATTGAGAAACATTACACAAAGTATATCTCAAATGTCTACCTATCCTGGCCACCTAAGTGTGGCATAAAACGATCACAATGAAAATTCTGAAATGATATTGAGGAACATTACACAAAATATATATCTCAAATGTCCGAATACCGACTACCTAAGTGTAGCATACAACTATTGAAACCAATTCCTGAAATCATATTGAGAAATCTTACACAAAATATATCTCAAATGTCAACTTATTCGACCGCTTTAGTGTGTGAAATATAACTAAAATACGAAATTTCGAATACTAATCATATTTTGATGTTGTGGAAAATTGCTCAAAATTTATCTCAAATGTTCACCTATCCGATAACTTGAGAGTGACAAATATTTTAAAACAAAATTTTGAAACCATATTGAGGAACAATACAGAAAATATATCGCAAATCGTCATTTACTCAGCTACGTAAGTGTGTCATGTAAATGCAAAATGATATTTTGGAATGACAATAATATTAGGAAGCATTCAAAAAAAATTTCAACCATCCGACCATTTCAGAAGGTATGTAATTAAAACACGAAATTCTCTAAAAAAATATCGAGAACCATTACACACAACATATCTCAAATGTTCAATTAAGTGACGTTTTCAGTGGGGCCTATAAATGCGAAATGAAATTTTGCCATGTCAACTAAAATGAGAAACATTACACCAATTATAACTCAAATGTCTACCTATCAAGGCGCGCTTAAGTATAGCAGTGATTATACAGTCAACTATACAAGCGATCAACATGAAATTATTCAACCCCGATATCAATTTAGAATCTTTGCACAATTTATTTAAAATTTTTGCACCAACTCGGAATACAAAAACATGATTGTTATTTTGAATTTATAATTAAATAGTAAAAATGTATGCCAAGTATGTATACGAATGTGGATATGCCCACTAGATTAAGTTGTTGAGGAGAGACAAAATTATGTGCTCACTGCCGGTTCATCTTTATGAATTATACAGAGATGTCTTAAAGCTTTACAATAAACTTCTCGCAAGATATACAAAGCCGTGCAATTATATTTCTTTTCGTCGTTTCTTTTCTGGTTCACGTTTATTTAGAAGCTTTTTTGGAATTGATTTACAGCCCTTTTCTTTTCCGTATATATGATTTTCTTTTAAGTCACTTACATTGCTTATTGAAAGTGATTCTGAAGATGGTGCGGTATAGTCTGTTGACTAATCTGAAACTTTGGTCAAAAATACATGCATAAGTCACAAAACATCATCACAGTGTTCTAGTCCAATTCAGAATTACGGTACTCTTGATTGACCGAACAAACGAAGTGTTTGAAATGGGGAATTGCATTATTACTCAAATAAAACAGTGAGGGCTCCCGAAGTATGCGAACCAAGATGGCGGACATCGGAATGTAATATGTGTACTAGGTTAGGGTTAGTCCATAATTTTAGCTATAAATACTACGGGAGGCTCTTGGCTAGTCTTCGAACTGATAATAGGACTAAAATGAGGAAAACTGGAAAAAAATTATCGCCTAACCCTAAACTGTTACCCATGTTACGTTCCGATGTCCGCCATCTTGGTTCGCATACTTCGGGAGCACCAAACAGTGTTTTTAAACGGAGCACTACAATTATTCGTAGATAGCCGCGCTATTTGTGATGGGCTACAATTGATATTATGATTTGGTTTATTACCATTCATTGGTATCAATTTGAGATACCGTATTTAATTAAAAACAAGCATAGCAAACTAATTTAATCACCTCCTGGCACAGCGTTCTCCGAATCACTACCCGCATTTCCGTCTGCCAAGTTCTGAAACGTAGGCCATCTCGTTGGAGAGTCACTTACATGTGAACAAAAAATACAGCCCAGTAAATAGCTAGATGAGGATGGTAAAATAACACAGGGATATGTGCCAAATCACAAAACAAAATTGCTAGCAATGCAATTCTTTAAAACTGTTTTCCGAAGATAAAATATTCTAATCTAATATGAAGCGGTGTATTAGAGATTTTTATTTATACAATGCTATACAAACCTATATAAAGTGGCGTCAACCACTCGCTTCTCGTATCTCCTTCTGTTTCGAGAAAAATTTGAATTCATTGAATTTTCACAATCTTCGTTTGTATTGTCATCTGGATTTAGAAATCCTTCTGAATTACACACTCTTACAAACGCAAACCCAGTCGTAGCAATATTTTTATGGTCAGATCAGAACTACGACCAGTAAAAGCATAACAGTATCAGTAGTCTTTTGATAATCAGGAATAAGTGAAAAATCTCAACAACAAAAATATATGCTAATGATTTGGTTTCTGCAAGACTAACCACTTATCCTTCTTCTATGCTTTTGTGTCGGCGGATCCGTATGCATATAGTGCAAGGATGCTGTAGCAAGAGTAAAGATAACTATCCTACAGTCCTATGTGATTCAAGAGTCTTGATGCACACTAACACAATTATATTTCTGTAACGTTTCGTCTGACCAAGATCAGACTCCTTTAGACATACATAGTAAATATAATTGTGTTATTGTGCAGCAAGACTCTTGAATCACTTAGAACAAAAATATAGTAGCCCTATTATTAAAAATCGTTATGACTAATCACCTTATCCGATGAGTGATGATTTCCAGCAGCATTCTTCGGTGACGTTGAAAACCTTGTTTCAAGTTATTATGACTCGACTTCAACTCACTGGGTAATTGATAACACCTGACACAAAAGACTTGGATCGCTTCTCCAAACACAACTGTTCTATTTTATCTAAATTTCTGCAATCACGCATTCATGAAGATCCCGATCCCCTCACGGCGTCCAGGTTACTTGCGAACAAAACGGCAAACGTGGTAGGTAAAGTTCTTGGCAAACCCGACAGTTTTACTATTGCGACACCAAGCCTCTTTAGTACGGAGTTGTGAATTGAGGTCTTTTTCAGTTTATTGAGCTTATATTGCAAAAAACAGAACTAACGATCTTCATGTTCTGCCTGGTTATTGTATCAAAATTATCAATCCTACTCTCCAAAAATCGTAAAGACATATACCGAAAAGTTAAAAGATTTTCGGAAAAAACAAAATGTCCGCTTAGTGTACGAAAATTATACCCGTTGATTATAAACCAGCAGAACTACTGTCCCCTTAGAGTTGGCGAAAATATGCAGATATTTTAAAAATATTGAAAGAACATATTGTTTTTGATACTGTTTTATCAGAGAAAAAGAGATTTCAGCAAAAAATAGCAAAACGTTTTAATTATGGAACGTGGAATAATTAAGCGGACAGGAAAATGTCTACCCAATTTTTCCGTCTACATAACTGTCGCTTTTTTAGCACGGTATGTCTACTAACTACCGTATTAGATATATATATATATATTTCTATTTTATCGATTTGGTCGACAACACGGGTTTATTTTTGCTGTATTTGGGCGACGAGAATTTTGGGGCGACATAATGCTGTAGCCCAAATAGTTTGGGCTTTATTTTCTCCAAGAATCCCTCAAGATAAAGGTCTGAAACTTTTCGTCATTTTCAACATTGCCCTCAACCATCACCACATAATGTTGGATAAGAAATTCGAGCAAAAAAACTCTGTTTTTTGCCGACAGTTTCTAGGCATAGCCATAACCCGTGTTGCTAGTTTTGCTAAATTGTGGCTACAAAAATAAATCATGGTTTTCTCTTTTCTAACCCGGTTATCTTTTGGCCAGAATTAGAGGATAAACAGAAAAAAAATTTCGCTATTGTATTGTATTCCAATAATTCACCGGAAACTTATCTGGAACTTGGTACAATGTTATGGTAAATTTCACCTTAATAAAATTGCAAACTTGCAGACGGGACTTATTACGTCATATATAGTCTGAGTCCGCTTTGTCAGATACGATGGAGGGTTGATTTTATCCATCAAATTAATAATGAATTCAGTTTGTAGAAAGAATCGTGCTCGCTTTACCGTGCATAACATAGGTTTTCCATTTGTATTGGAAAAGAGGTCGATGGTTTGGTTGGCAGAAATGGAACACATATGTCGCTTTGTAGTACAAACGCTCTAAAATACGGTATACAAAGACATAGTTTTGGATATAACCTTGGGTAGACCTACCATACGTCCCGGTTTGGCCGGGACAGTCCCGGTTTGAACGCCTTTCCCGGTGTCCCGTCCCGGTTAGCAAAATGTCCCGGAATTTTACTTTAGTGAAATTTTCAAAATTAACTCTAACCGGACGCAAAATTATGAAATAATTCCGTCCCAAAAAGCATAACTTTGCTTTAAGTCGGGTCTTATTTTAATATCTTATTTTTTTAGCTTATTAGGTTGAGTGAAATATCACACATAGCTTGAGAAATCTTTTAGTTAGGGAATAATGAGTGACGTTTATTGCGTCATTATTCTATTGACTTCAATGAAACTACAGCAACTGCTGCATTAGAACAAATGCCTGATTTGTGACTTAGTGTTGCTTAAATTTACGTGCATTTTCCTTTAAATAAAGTAATAAAAAATTTTATTCAATCTAAGTAGAATACTTTATTATGCAATATTAAAGCTTATAAATATAAATGTTGAATAAAAATTTGCCAAGATCAGGCCTTCGGCCTTTCGTCCAGTTATTTCATTCATAGTTTTGAGTTTGTCCCGGATTATGCCCAAGAAATTATGGTAAGTCTAACCTTGGGTATCTCACTACCTCACTATGGGAGCTTCAGGAATATAAGCAGCATTCGAGGCAGTACCTTCCGAGGCGGCATAACAGGTTTCGCATTAGCGATAGTTTCTTCGTAATAGTGAATTCAATATTCTGGGATAGTATATATGGGCACTGTTTTGAATAGCCAGCTGGTTGCGTTCCCTAAATTCTCATTGGCAGGTCGGTGAAAAATAACCGGATTTTATGACAATTACTTATATATAATAACTTTATCATGTTGCTCTGTTGTGCGAGATAATAAATATAGTGAGTAGCATAATAATAGTTTTATTTAAACAACTAGACAATATATATCTATATATTCCTAGTTCCTTTATTTGGTCGACAACGCGGGGTTATTTTGCTGTATTTGGGCATCGAAAATATTTGGGCAACATTTTTCTGTCGCCCAAATAGTTTGTGCTTTACTTTCTTTATGAATCCCTTCAGCAAAGAGTCCGAAATTCAACTTTACTCTCAACAATCTACGACGTAATGTTTGCTATGAAATTCGGGCAAAAAAGCTCAACTGGACAATACTGTATATATATATTTTTAGTTTCTTTATTTGGTCGGCAACGCGAAGTTATTTTGCTGTATTTGGGCGTTGAAAATATTTGGGCAACATTTTGCATTTTTCCCACATAGTTTTGTGTTTCACTTTCTTTATAAATCCTTTCAGCAAAGAGTACAAATTTCAACTTTATTCTCAACAATCTACCACATAATAATGTTTTATTTGATATTCGAGCAAAGAAGCCGAAAGTATTTAAGCCTAGGTATCGTTCCTGTAGTTGTTTTTGCTACATTGTGGCGACAAATATACATCATTATAAAATTGTTAAAATAGACCACATAAATTCTATTTATCAATGTTTATAAATACGAGCGTATAAACATATTTATCGTAAAATTTCCCGATATAATACTAAATCGTCGAGGTTTGAGGCTTTAATTCCACGTTGCCCCGTCATAAGAAAAGCATGGGCCTTTCCCCAGTCATCGATTTCCTCGTTTACTTCGTGACATTGGCCAAAAGGCAAGATCCAAAAAGCGACGTAGACAACGTTTTTACATTTAAGGGAGGGGGAATAGGGGGGCGCGCATTTTCAATACGTCGATAATATCTTTGTCGAACAATTTTGCAACCAACCACCGTGTTTTTGTCTGTTAGATTGCTACGATGCGGTGCTTTGTTTATATTATGACGAGTTTTGTTCGAAATAACCGTCTTCTTTAAATATGTCACGGTCAAAAAGGCAATCAGAAGCCCAATTTTTCACGTATGACGTATGCGTATGACGTATGCGTATAAAGGGGTGTAAGCCGCACATCTGTGTTTTAGGCCAATATGGTCTTGTGCATACATCCCGTCTTCAGTATTTATAATTACTTACTCTTTTATATTGCTTTTACGAGACGAATAAACATACATACATACATGACTAGTCTCGACGCAGCAGAAACGATTTTTAAGGTCGTTCGGTCCCAAATACGTCTTCCTAGTGTCATGCTTTGGTGGTTTGTAAAGCTTTAACCCCTGGCCGTAGAAAGACCAAAGTTACCCCAGCCCACACTCGCTCAGCCCACACTCAGCCTGACGTCAAGGGGTTAACCAACTATTTTACTGACTTTATAAACGTAATTACATAAAAACTTGGTGACTCTGACAATATAGAGACCATATCTGATATACACAACGCAAATACAATACTAAGCACGGCCCAGTTACCCCTAGTATGGCCTGACAAAAACGAGTGTGGGCCAGCGTCACACGAGTGTGGGCTGGCATCCCACGAGTGTGGGCTAGCGTCACACGAGTGTGGGCTGACGTTCTGACAATGTTTCACCGTAAGTTAAGGCATCCAAAACGTTCACAGATTACTAAATTACATATATCCATATTTAACTCAGCGCTAGAACCTCTCAAAGTCCGGCAATTGATGGCACAAAATAGCCACAATTGCCGGGAAAATGAATCGAAATCAGCTGAACAATGATATCTCTAATCACTGTTGCCAGATATATAGGTGGACAAGCATGAATTCACAGGAAGGTTTCACAACAAAAAAAAAAATTATATTTAAGTGAAATATCAAACCTATTCATTTCCATCAATATGAATGAGGTATGAACAAATCGAATCTGATTTACACAAATACATCTTTTAAAATAAAGATTGAACAAGCAAATTCAAAAGCAAATTAAGTAACATTTACCCAAAGAGATACATTGTCTTGATGGCTTTGAAGTCTGATTTCGGCACTTCTAATACTTTGTACGCCATGAAATCGACTTATTACATTATGTATTCGATTATCCAACAAATAACGAAAAATTCGAAAATTCTACCGGGGGGAAAGACTTTGAAATAAAAAAAGAATCTACCTATGTATAAAGATAATCCTATTTCCCCACAATGATATTTTATGACAAAATGCAACAAGGAATTCAAACTTTTTTATTAATTTGTACATCACGAAAATTGCTTATTATATTATATAGTGAATTATCTTACAAATATCAAATATTGAGAAAATTCTACCGGGGGGAAAGACTTTAAAATAAAACCGGAGTCTACCTCTGTTCAACGATAATCATAATTCCCGATAATGGTATTTTATGACAAAATGCAACAAGGAATTGAAACTTTTTTTATCATTTTGTACATCACGAAATTTGCCTATTATATTATATAGTGAATTATCTTTCACATATTAAAAAATAAAAAAATTCTACCGGGGGAAAGACTTTAAAATAAAACCAGAATCTACCTATGTCTAACGATAATCATATTTCCCGATAATGGTATTTTATGACAAAATGCAACAAGGAATTGAAACTTTTCTATTAATTTGTACATCACGAAATTTGCTTAATAAATTATATAGTGAATTATCTTACAAATATCAAATATTGAGAAAATTCTACTGGGGGGAAAATTCTACCGGGACTTATCTTACAAATACTAACATAAAAAAATTCTAAAAACGCAAACGCAACAATTTTTAAAGAAAACTGGTATTCAAATTTATTTTCACTCCGACTTTAAACGAATTTATTGAGAACCACCTTTTTATAACATTG